AGGAAGGGAGGGAGAGGGAGGGAAGAAAGCCAGAGCCCCAGGCCAGCAAGCAAGGCAGCTTTAAGGACACACGCCCCCTGCCCAGGGGGAGAGACATCCCAGCTGAGCAGACTCGGACCCTGTGATCTGGGGGAGTCTGAGGCAGGGGGCAGGGGGCAGGGGGCAGAGGCCAGTTGGTCTATAGTGCAGGCTTCACAGTGCAGAGCTGGGAGGCAAGCAAGGAGCTCTGGGGGATGACAAGTGACACCACACTCTGGGACACTGTTCCTAGGAGGCAGGAGGGGTGGGCCTCTCTCTGGAAATGGCTATAATCCCACAGCTTTGACCAAGGCCTCACCAGCCTGTCCTGCCCTGGCTCACCCCATCTACCTGATTCAGGCCTTGCTGAGGTGGGGTGAGATGGGGCAGAAATGAATGACTGGCTTAGTATCAGTTTGTCTTGCTTCCCCAGGGCCACTGTTTTTTAAAAAGGGCCAGGTCTAGGCCACAGTAAGATCCAGAACCTCAACCCAGCTGGGCGTGCCCAGGCTAGGCCCATTCCACACTTCTATCCTGATTCTCCTGTGTTCTGCACTCGGACCCTCACAAACACGACTCCTGACAACCCTCTTTTAGACAATGGTCGCTCCTGTGGTCCCCAGACATAAATGGAAGAAATTAATCACCTTGCTTCTCTGGCTCCCCCCAGATCCCGCCATGTGGTTCTTTGGGGGCTAGTCACTTCAGCTTCCTGTCATTCTGGCATGAGGGTGGGCCATGACCTAACCCCACCAATCAGAATCCTTCCCTGGAACTTTTCAATAGCCACTAAGGAAAGAGAGCAGTTCCTCAGGAAAGCCCAGGAGCTGGGACGCAAGCAAGGAGCTCTGGGGGATCATGCCTTCCAGGCTGATGTAGGGAAGGACAGAGCCAAGACATATTTAGAAGCCAAGAGGGGGGACCCGGAGGGTCCAGACTCCATGAGCCACTCTGTCACCTTGGAGCCCAGCCACGTCCCCTGCCCTGTCTGTCGTGCGGTTCCATGAGCCAGAAGTGGCTTCACGGGTGTCCACCTGTGCATTTGCACAGCGCCCCCAGTTTAAAAGGGTTTAGTGCTCTACTGCTGCTTGACGTTCTTAATAATTTTGAACAAGGAATCTGAATTTTCATTTTGTACTGGGTCCTCCAGATTATGTAGCCGATCCTGCCATCAGCCATTACCATCTATCTTTGGTATTAGTTTTTAAAAGAGTTTCCGTGCACGTGCCCACACACACACGCCCACACACACACACACACACACACACACAAGGTGGGGCGTGTGATTCCGAGCCGCACACTCATAAACTCCATCACAGCCCCTCTCCCCAGGCCTAGAAGCCCAGACTCAGACCCAGTGCCTCGCTCAGGCCCTCTTCCCAGCAGCAACACTTACACAGCATCTTGGTCACCTGGGTCCGGCTCCTATCCTCCAGCCGCTGGAGCCTGCGGCTGTCGCTGGCCCTGGCCTTGCCCTTGGCCCCCTGCCTGAGCAGCAGCCCCTCACGCCTCAGCCGCAGCCCAACGAGCAGGTAGAGCACGCTGATGGCGGCCATGGGCAGGCAGAAGAAGAGCAGAGTGGTAATCTGCATGAGCAGGTGGTACAGGGCCCTCGAGCCGACGAGCATGCACACGGCCGAGCCGGGCACGGTGCCCCGGCAGGGGACATGCAGCTGCTGGATGCCGTGCAGGCTGGTGTTGGGCAGAGAGCAGAGCAGGGCCAGGCCCCAGACAGCCCCGAGCATGCGGCGCACGTGGGCCTGGGTCATCACCAACCTGGCCTGCAGCGGGTGCACCACAGCCACGTAGCGCTCCACGCTCAGGGCAGTGACGTTGAGCACAGAGGCCAGGCAGACGGTCTCAAAGAGCAGCGTGCGGAAGTAGCAGCCGCCGGCACCCAGCAGGTAGGGGTAGTTCTGCCACATCTCGTAGAGCTCCAGGGGCAGGCCCAGCAGCAGCACCAGCAGGTCCGACACCGCGAGGCTGAAGAGGTAGTAGTTGGTGGGCGTGCGCATGGCCTTGTGGCGCAGGATGACCAGGCAGGTCAGCCCGTTGCCCACGGTGCCCACCAAGAAGATCAGCAGGTATATGACACAGATGGGTGCAAACAGCTCCGTCTGCTGGGGCCCCAGGTACTTGAGTTTCAGCTCCTGGTCGGTCAGGTTCAAGTCCTCAGGGTGAAAGAGCCCCAAGGCCCTACTGCTATTGCAGGGCACGGGGCTGCTTTCACTCTGGGAGGACACATCTTCAGGGAAGATGGAACAATTGAGGCAGAAAGGGACCTGTGGAACAGAAGACAGAGACACCCAGAGAAGTCACTCAGGGAAGCCTGGCTCTGTCGTAATTCGTCAAACCGAAGGTGCCATTATTTTATGTACCGCTGAGAAAGAAAAACCTCTGTCATCCATTGTAAGATGCATTACAACTTCAGAGATGTAAAAATGTACATCTTGAACATGATAAAGCTCTGGTTGAATTGTTCAGTTGGTTGAGCATAGTCTCATGCACCAAAAGGTTGCCGGTTCAATTCCCGGTGGGGGCACATACCCAGGTTTCGGGTTCTGTCCCTGTTGGGGTGTGTATAGGAGGCAACTGATTGATGTTTCTCTCTCTCTCCCTTCTTCTCTCTCTAAAATCAATAAACACATTTTTTTAAAAAGATGAAAAGTGGACTTCAATTTTAAATTTCACGATCTATTGAATCCTTTGACTAAATGATGAATCCTCTTGTGCCTGGGCTTTGCCATCAGCGGTCTCCCCTGGGATCTCTCCCTTTTCAAGCCACAGACTTTGGGACAGGGGCTCATTGGGGCATCTGTAAAAGGGCACAGTGCTCAGTATCTCATGGTCTTCAAGAACAAGGCCCTGGAGGCAACTGCTTGGGTTCAAATCTAGCCTCCCCAATCCTAGGCTGTTTGACCATTTGCCTGGTAACCTCTTTGTGGCTGTTTCCTTATTATGAGGCTTGAGGGAGTTTAATCCATGAAAGGTATTAACACAGGGCTTGCCTGACACACTGAAAGCCCAGGTTATCAGCATCTCACTGAGGGGACTAAGTCCCGGAGGGGATCAAGGGCTAAAAACGATAACGCTGATCCAAAACTTGGTTCTCATTTCTGTTTTCCATCACCTGAACTGGTAGAAGTTGAAATGTTCACCGCCCTTAACACTGCCAGTTCTAGGGCTCCCTCTCCTCTCAGGCTGCCAGTCTCTGCCAGTCCACCATATACAGTGATTAAGAACCAAGGCCATGATGCTAAACAAAGTGGCCTGGATCAAACGCCAGCCCTGTCACACTCTAGCGTGACCTCCCCTTACTGTGCCTCAGTCTCCCCATCTGTAAAATGCGGGTGTCAACAGAGCCTACCTTATAGTTTCAGTGGTTAACTGAGACTACACATAAAGTCCTCAGCGTGCACCTGGTACATTCTGGGTGCTCTTTCAGTGCCTAGTAACATGATCCTTACTCCCCCTGGAAAGGGGGGCAGCCCAGGGGAGGGGGGGCAGCCTCAGCCTGTCCCTCTGAGCCTGTTTCCCAAACGCCCCCACCCCCCCAGCAACTGGACTGTCAGGCTCCCATCCTGGGCCTCGTCCCTCTCTCTCCAGCCCCAAGTCCTCTCTGCAGTCGGGGCTCGGGGCTCGGGTGGCGGGTGTACCTGCACCACCTGTCAGCTTTCTTTTCCAGGTCCTTCGCTCTCCCAGACCCCAGGCAGTCTTTCTCCTCCCTCCCTCCCTCCCTCCCTTCTTTCCTTCTTTC